TGTTTCCATTGCCCCACACAATGTCTAGAATTTGGTAGTTGCTCCCTGTGTTTACTAAGGGAATGCATGATGGTTTACATCAGTGACCTGCCCCAAGGGCTTGATGGTACTTCTCTGTGTGCACTACATGTGTTCCAGAGTCCTTTAACTTTGTGAGCAGTGCCTGGATATATCAGTGGCTTAAATGCATAAATAACACAAACGAATGATTTACTGTTTTGGAAGATAATTACCTCCAGCTGTATAATTAAAGAGGAGTGTGCTAAATTTCCCCCTTGGTACTCATAAGAATTTTCTAAGCCTGGTACTGTATATTCCTTTATTTTACAGTAAAGTAGGAGAGAAAAAATATAGTCCTCTTTGATATTTCAGTTCTGTGGTAATCTTTTATCACTCAAGAACTCTTAGGTTTCTGGGGTAGTCTAGATTTCTCTCTTGGATCAATGTCTATATGCATGTAACTTATTTTGCATATGACTTAAATACTTGTTTTATAAAGATCTTAGTAAAATTTAAAATTTACTTAATAATGGTTTCTGGGTGTTTAGAAAGTCCATAATGTATTTCTAGGATATTTACATTAAAATGTAATAAAACATGAAAAGACAACCTACAGAATGGAAGTAATTATTTGCAAATCATTTATGATTATATATGATGACTGATAAGGGCTTTTTATCCAGAATTTATAAAGAACTTAGTTTTTTTTTTAAATTCCTAATTAAAAGCAGGCAAAGTATTTGATAGACATTTCTTCTGAAAAGATATAGAAATACATAGTAAACACATTAAAAGACACAAAAAAGACCACAATGAGGCTATATTTCACACCCATTAGGAAGACTAAAATGAAATAGAAAATAACAAATGTTGACAAACACGTGGAGAAACTGAAACCCTTATAAACTGCTGGTAGAATTATTAAAATGGTACAGCAATTTGGAAAACAGTTTGTTAGTTTTTCAAAGCATTCAATATAGAATACAGTACTCAGCAGCTCTACTCTTAAGTAGAAAAGCAAAAGAACTGAAATAAAAACTTGGACTTGAATGCTCATAGTGACAATATTCACCATAGCCAGAAAGAAGAAACACCCAAGTATCTATCATTTGATAGATGTATAAATAAAATGTGACATCTGCATACAATAGAATGTTGTTTGGACATAAACAGAAATGAAGGAAGCCATGTATGGTGGTACACCCTATAATTCCAGTTATTCTACAAACAGAGACAGGAGGATCATGGGTCAAGGCCAACTGGGCAAAATTAACATGAGACCCTATCTAAAAAACAAAAACTATAAGCAAAAGGACTGGAGGCTTGGCTCAAGTGATAGAGAGCTTGCCTAGCAAGTGTGAGGCCCTGAGTTCAATTGCCAGTGTCATAAAAATTAAATTAAATTAATAAAAGGGAAGAACTGATCCATGCTACATCATGGGTAAATCTTGAAAGCATACAGGGTGAAGTCATGAAAGACTACATGTTGTATTGCTGCATTTAGAAGAAATTTCCCATAAAGGCAAATCACTAAAGAGAAAGTAAGATTAGTGTTTGCCAGGGGCTCAGGAGGGAGAAGTGGAGGCTGACTCTTGCTGATCATGGGACTTTCTTTGTGGTGAAGAAGATGTCCCACAATTAGATGGTGGGGATGGCTGCAAAGGTCTTGGTCTATACTAAAACTTGCTTAAGTGTGCACTTCAGAAGGCTGGGCTTTATGATAAGTAAATAAAGCTGTTAAAATGTCATTACCAATATTCAATGGAGGTTCTAAAGAGGACTATAATATGGTATTTTCCCCTCAGTAGCACTAAGATCTATTCAATGTCTTCCTTCTCACTAAATATATCTCACTCTGCGTGACTGATAGACGGATGAACTGAATAATAATCAAGAAAGAATGAAATCTGTCTAGCACCTGATCAATAAAAATAGACCTTGAACTAGCTATGCTTTGTCCTAAAGAGCAAATGTGTATTATCTTTAGGTCTCTAAAAAGAAATTTATTAAGACAAAAATCCAGTCGGCTCTCATCTCATTTTTAATGAGAAATATGAGATTGTTAGAATTATCTGTCCTCAAGTTACTAGAAATCACATAATTAACTCTAACCAAGTGCTTATGTGTAGTCTATGAGAAAGTTAGAAATAATCCATGTTTATATCACAACTTGAAAATCATATTTAACTATGCTAAGTTATCAATTAGGTAAAATCTAATTTTGTGAATGGTTATTCTATTTGAATGGTTAATTATTCTCTTTGTGTGTGTTCAGCTTAGTTTTGGGACTGTCAACTCATAAAAAATACACTATTTTAAGATGTTTTAAAGCAAACATTGAATTTAAATAAATTTGTCTTGGCATTTGTTTGCCATATATTACTGAAAAACAACTATGCATTCTAGAACTTTCCATTAATATGACTGCTAATAAATTCAAGCTAACATTTATTGTCATTTTCGGAGAGCACTAAGTGAGGTACTGGAAATACCAATGATAAAGAAAACAGTGTGTATGATCTTAAGAGCCTTTTAAAATTGTGGGGAAATGATTACAAACAAATAGTTATAAGAATGTGATAAATGCTACAACAGAAATAAGATCAAGGAACACAATTCCAATAGCATGAGCTTTCTGACTTTTTTTACCTGCAAGATTATATACGTCTTCAAAAATAGTTTTCAATCAGTATCTGTAGAATTGAAATTTAAAGGTGGGCTTGACATTATTAATAAGAAATAGAACATATGATAATAAACTAAAATAAATAAATTAAAGTAGAAAATAAAAGTGTTCCATAGTTTAAGACTACCTAAATACATGTTTTATAATTCATTTGGTGGTTATCTCTTTAATAAAAAGCAACTTCTACATTTATCCTAGAATAGAACAAAGGCCTAGCATTTCATTGGTTTCAGTGGTGGTTGAGGCCTCTCTGTTGTAGATCTGGCAACTTTAGAATCAACAAAGGAAACGCCTTCCCTTTTTAAGGGTCAGAATTTAAATTTACGCAACAATCTCATTCAATTATCTTTAAGATTTAAACTTGAAAAAAAGGCATTTTTGTTTGTTTAAGATAGCTATTTAGAGAGTTCCACTGTGGCATTTCCATCTATAGATGTATTCTATCCAGAGTGGAGAGGAGATAAGGAAAGAGTGTAGGTGTGTAAATATGGTAGAAATACTGTGCACTGTGTATGTAAATGGAAAAATGAGACCTGTTGAAACTATCCCAGGAATTAGGGGAAGAGAGGATAAAGGAGAATGGTGGAGGGGGTGAATTCAACTATGATATATTAAGAACTTTTGTAAATGTCAAAATGTACCGAACACAATAATATGTTAATGATAATACACACATAAAAAAAGATTCAAACTTGAGAGACTAGAGGTATGACTAAGGGGGTGCCTAGTAAATACAAAGCCCTGAGTTCAAACCCTAGTACAGTGAAAAAAAAAAAGGTTCAAACATTAAATTCAAAATCTATGATCACTCAAAATTTGTTCATTAATCCACCTTTTTCTTGCTGCTTTCTATCTGTTTTTGTGGGCCCACTGCTTGGGATGTCATGTCATGTCATGTTTCCTGCTGCTGCTCACATACAAATTGGGAATAGTACCTGGCCTTCTGGACTTAACAGAGTTGTCTTGAGAAGCAAGAAAATGTACAGGAATAAATTTGCTAGTAAAAGGTCCTGTGCATTGCTACTTGCTACTGCATTCCTGGCTGCCACACTTTAAAGACTTCTTTAAATTCTGATGAAAAGCCTTCTTCACATTCATGTGAATTTGTTATTTCTTTATTTTTTTTATTGTTGTGCTGGGTGGGGGTACATTGTGGCATTTGCAAAAGTTCTTATAATGTATCAAATATATCATACTTGAGGTCACCCCCTCCATTGGTTCTCCTTTTGAATTTGTTATTTAATAGAAACAACGTCAGCCTCCTTATTCTAGTACTACATTTCTAAAAGTTCAGCTTGTCTTTCATGTGGAAAGGCAAAAAGGACATAATTCCCTCCTGTTTCAAATGCTCTTTAGTACCTAAAAGTTGGCATAAACGTGCTGACTTTGATCAAGGGGAGACGGGATAGTCATTTGGGAGCATGGTTCTGAGAAGATTCTGTGAGCTTTGGGATTAGTTCAGAAGCTTGATTCAGATCTGACTTCTCAGGTCTCATGCCAGATACAGACAATCAGATCCTGGGTGGGGTGGGGTGTAAATCTGCATTTAAGGGGACTCCCTGGCTGATTCCTAGATGCTTTAGACTTGGGAGATTAGGACTGGAGGCCTATTTACACTGTCTGTCTCTAGTGACACTGCAGGATAGCCAGGGGCTGAGCAACTAGTTGATGGACCTGGGAGGTTAGGATTTGCATGTAGGGGGGTTGTTGGATTTTGTTGGAGTCAGAGGCTTAGAGAGAGCAGGGCAGGAGCCTTGCCTGTTGAGTGGTCTCTTGCCTTCCAGTCTCAATCCAATTCAGCAGCTCTGACTTTAATCTGTTTTATATGCTGAGATTCCCTAAGATTTGTGTCATCAAAGAGTTCTACTGTTAAAAACAATTGGAAGTCACTGATGTAGGGCCTGGAGAATGGGTGAATCAGTTCAGGAATCAGAAGACTTGGGAACTGGTGTCAACTTGCTATTTGATGGACTTCTGTGCTTGTGAAAGAGTCTTTTAACAGCTCCATTTGTAAAATGGTCACAATCCCATGCTTACCTTACAGGACGGTTGTGGGGATCAAACCAGCCAATTCAAAGTATTTGAAACTAGGAATGATTATTAACATGCATTACTGTTATCATTGGTTTATTACTATATTATTTATATGATTTATTATTTGATTGAACATAAGAGAGGGCACATTTTAACTCTTTGAGATTGGGTAGGACTACTCTCTTTTTGCACAAAACAAGATTATACTGAAACATCCCCAGTTAACAAAGCCTTTGGAGGAAGGAGAGGGAGCAGAGGAAGAAGAGGGTAGGCAACTCACCGACACAAATGCTTGTGATTTGGTTTCGTTCAACTGAAGTTGCAATTTCTTTTCATTGTCATAGACGCCATAGAGTCTCTTGGACCAGGTCTGAGGTACTCTGCTCTTGAATTTTAATGAACTATATAAGGCAAATATTCTTTGTAAATCTAGGACCAGGCAGCTGCAGTTGTAGAAGATGACACCAAGTTCTTTCATCTGTGAAATTAAAATTGAAAGCATCAATTGCTGGGTGGATCTGATGGTGCTATTTTCAGAGAAAAAAATGCGTAAGAATGCAGTAGCAATGACATAGTTTTCCTTTCATTTATCGTTTTGAAGAAATATGTAGATATAGCCAGCCATGTTATAGTACACAAAAGAGATGTTTATAAAATGCTTAAATATTTTAGTGGCACTTTGCCTTGACTTTTGCATTCAAACTCTTACAGATAATTTCCCTCATATTCATCTACACTTCCATTATAAGCCCTCCGGATTTGTTTCCTTAACACCTATTTTTTTTTTGTATGGATCCTTAAATTGTGCAGCGAGACAAAGACCTTAACTGCAACAAAACAGAAAGGCTTCAATCATGGACTTTGGGGCCATACCTCCTGGAATTAGTTTCCAGCACCACAGCTTTTTGGTTGTGTGACTTTGGACACCCTAATCGCTGCACTTTCATGTCTTCTTCCATAAAGTGGAGACAATAATATTTGTTTCATATAGTTACTGGGAGAGTTGTGAAACAAAAGCCAAGCAGGATATGAGAGAGGGTGACGTGTGTGTGAGTACATACATCTTTCTGGTGGCAGGGGTAGAGCTGGTGGGATAGGGATGTCAGATCCCCAGAGGACTTTGTGCTGGGAGGAGCAGTTCGATGTTTACCCCAAGGTCATGGGGAGGCAGGTAGTGACGGGATGGCTGTGGTGTGAAGAGGGGGAAAAGGATGAGGGCAGCTGGAGAGAGGATATTCAGCCCAGGCCTTGGCAGTGGCTCAGAGAGACTTACACATTCATACGTCTTTCCTGATCTCAGAGACTTACAGAAACTGCACTCTGCTCATTCCATGCAGAGCTTCAGTGGTGTATGAAACCCTTTTGAGTCCTTTCCCAGGTTGGATCAGTGCTGCCACCTTTCCCTCTCCAGAAGTCTCTGGAGCACTCCACTGATTCTCAGCTTTTCTGCCAGGGTAGCCTTTATTAGCAGGCTCTCTGATGATGGGAATGGGTTAGAGGTTCTGGGACTTGATTTCTGCTTGGGTAGGTAGCTGTCCACTGAACAAGGGCATCCCTGACATGTTGCTTTGTCTGCCAGACAAAGCAAATTAGAGGCTAATGTTTTTGTTCTTTTGCTCTTTTGCAAAAAACAAAGTCCCGAACCCTGTGCCCAAAGATGAGGATTGAAGTCAAGGCTGTGGACAGATCTGGGGGCCTTGGACAAGTCATTCCATCTTACTAAGATTGTGAACAATGAGAAGGTCTGGCTCATAAAGTCTATGAGTGTTTTCTAGCCTGATCATCTGTCAGCTGGAAGCTGTCATTTTGAGACCTCTTCCCTCTGCCTGCCTACCTCCCCAACACTGTCCAGAGAACCTCTGTGAGACTGTTAGGACCAGCTCCTTTGGGCTCCAGCATGACTGTGGCTGGCAACCCTCCTGGGTGTCAAAGTCAGACCAGATAAGTTTGCATCTCAGCTCTGATCCTTGCTTATTGGATAGCCTTGAGTGAACTACTTAAGTCTTAAATTTCAGTGTTGTTCAATAAAGACAATCTGTGTCCAAATTTTACTGTTAAAATTGAAGAATAATCATAATTTTGATAGATAGTATTGGCCCATTGCTGACTTGGTATGTACACTGGACTCACATCCACTCAGAACCTATGACCTTCTTATGTGGAGTACAGTCTTCACAGATGCAATCAAGATAAGATGAGGTCATATTGAATTAGGGTGGGCCCAAATCTAATATGATGTGTGTCTTCATCAGAAAAAGGGAGTGTGGAGTCAGGCGCCAGTGGTTCACACCTGTAATCCTAGATACTCAGGAGGCAGAGATCAGGAAGATTGTGGTTCAAAGCCAGCCTGGGCAAATAGTTCTATGCGACCCAATCTCGAAAAAACCCTTCACAGAAGAGGGCTGGTGGAGTGGTTCAAGGGGTAGGCCCTAAGTTTAAGCCCCAGTACCACACACACATACACACACACACACACACACACACACACACACAAACACACACACACAATTGTGGACACGGACACACATGAGCACAGCGACTGAGATGGCACATCTACAAGCCAAGGATGCTAAGTGTAATGGGCTGAAAAGCTATTTTTGTGGAGGAGGTGACTCCTTACTTCGGCCCAGGAATTAATGAAAGGCAGAAAATAGATGATTTGGATGCCCTTTTTCCATAGAAATGGAATAAATCGACAGTGGGGAAAATGTAACGGGGACCACAAAAGGGAAAATCCTTTAGTATGGCCAGCTTGCATGCTGGCCAGCTTGCTCTGCTTGTTGGTTAAACTGACCTTTTTTTCCCTCTTTGTCCACATACTGGAGAATCTAAGGTTAACTCCCTTTACTCTTCAATTAAACCAGACAGTTTCCTCCCCTTATCTCTCTCTGACTGCCAGAGCAGTAAACCTGTCACCCAAGACATACAGCTTCAGAGATGTGGCACCAGATACATGCAGCACCAAGGCCAGCGGCCATTGCAGACATGCATCTCCTCACGCAGCAAAGCTCAGCCCCCGAGCTTCCCTTTAAAGGCAGACATTTTCTCTCAGAAGTAGGACAACACAGCTTTGAGAGGCTGACTCTCCCTGTACTCCTCTTCATCTGACAAATAATAAACCTTAATCCCTTTTCCTTGAAACCCTGCTCTCATTATTTGTAAGCTGAAAATTCACATTGAGGTCTGGGGACTGGCTTTCCAGTAACATGAGGACTGTGGTAATTGCCAGAAGCTCAGGAGAGACAAGGAAAGATTCTCCCTTGATGTCACAGTCTTGGACTTCTAACCCTCCACACCGTGAGACAGAATGTCTCTCTGTTCTTTGAGGCCAACAAGTGCATGGCAATTTGCTGTGACAACCCTAGGAAATGGATATGTTGTGCCCTACCTTTAACCTTGACAGTGGGTCAGGTGGACATAATTGTATCCCATTTAACTTGGAAAAGGAAATTGGGACTTTAGGTAGTTATTTGCCAATGGTAAATGACATAGCTGAGATTTGAACTTGGGTCGAACTGTGAAGCGTGCATACTTAACCACTATGCTATACTGCACTTAGCCTGTGGCCACTACACACTCCCTGGAGTCTATTGTTATTCATTCTATGAAGCCTTTGCTGGAAAATGAGTTTCCCACTTTGTCTACTGCTGTACTTAGCACCTCTCCCTGATGTGGTACATTTTACACTGCATCATATGCTATTTCCCCTATTTGACTTTTTAATATCTGGAGACAGGGACTATGTTAGGTTCATATTTTTATTTCCAGGACCGGGTTCAGAGCAGGTATTCAGAAATTGTCCACTGAAAGAACATCTGGCCCGTGAAATGAGCAAGAGGCAGTAGGAGTCTGAGCAGGAGGACAGACTGATGCCCTCTGTTCCTCAGCCCTTGAATCCAGGAAAAATATGTCCTGCTGTGCACAGGCCCTGCAGCAACAAAGATGGCTGCACTGAACCCACATGGCCACGCCAGTCTCAGAGGCCCACACGGAAGACATCCACCAGCATGGCGCTCAGTGATCAGAAGCAATAGCCAGCCTTAGATCATTGTTCCCTAAATATGCTGCCTGAACCTACAATACGGTGCAGGGCCCAACACAGGCTGTCTTTTGAATGGGGGGGTCTTCCTTAACATTCATACTATCCAAGCCCTAGTGGAATCAAAGAAAGAATACCATGAAAGTAGGAATTCAGAGTCTCATTTGTCATTTGTGATCAAAAGGCAAATCTGGTAGCCATAGGTTTTACCATGGTCATTTACCATTTTGCCATAAACCCTGAGTGCTTCCAGGTTATTCATTTACATACAGCCACATGCATGTTTGCAAACTTCTGTGAGAAGTATGGATAAGAACATCCTTTCCTATTCACCTCTTTCCTTGGGAATCCTAGTCCCTGATTGTCCCCTAATCTTTACATGGAGGTTACGGCCTCTCTGCTGTGGCTGGGGTCAGCTCAAAGAAAATGCAGTGCTCTGGAGCAAAGCAGCTGCCTCCACAGCTGCTCTCTGCTGCCTTCTCCTGACATGTGGAATGACAAGACACGAAGCCGCCCCGTTGCTACCCCAAGACCCCCACAAAAGCAGAAAGGAAACTGCTCTTCCATGTATGACAGGGCTCCAAGAAGAATGCCAGACTCTCATCACTCTTCTCTTCACAGCAGGCACAGGAACAAGACAGTGACCAATGGGACCTACTCAGGTACAGCAAGTCATCCATGGAACAGGCTCTGAAGACACAGCAACTCCACCTGGGCAAGGCGCTCAACTTGTTTACCTCTCTTACCTAACGGGGCTGCTGGGAGGAGTAAGTAAAAGGTCTCAGTGCCTGGCTCAACAGTGTCAGCTTTAGCTATGCCATGCCCTTTATCCTACCTTCTGAGGATATCTCTACTACAGCTGTGCTCTAGAGGGTTAAAGATTTTTTGACTCAGAGAACAGATGTTTTGTACCTTTTTGTTTGTTTGTTTGTTTTGTTTTTGTAGACAGGGTCTCACTAGGTAGCCCAGGTTGGCCTGGAACTCATGACCACTCCCCCCCCCCCCCCGCCGCCCCGTCTCCATCTCCTGAGTGCTGGAATTACAAGCTTGTACCACCACACCCGGCTAAAACCTAAAGCTCAGGTTGCTGTTGTTCTGCCGTGTTGGAATGGAACACAGGCAAGCATTCCACCACCGAGCTACACCCCCAGTCATGGTGTGGCATATGTCTTTTATTCACAAAGAATTTCATTTTCACCACTAGTGTGACATTTCAGTCATAAGTGTGAGGGAACAAAATTCACTCATCAAAGACCATTTGTGGTTGGACTGAATTGATGACAGAATGGCTATAACCGACAGGCTATTTCAGGTGTGTGAAATATAACACACATTGTCAAGCATGGTGGCACATGCATGTATTCCCAGCACTCAGAAGGCTGAGGCAGTGAGTTCAAGGTCAGCCTGGGCAAAAGTAAACGAGACCCCATCTCAACCAA